ATAGAATAATCGATTATGTTCATCCCTAATTGTGACAAATCGCAGAAAACGTCAACTTTTCAGTTAAATTTGAATTGTATACGTCTAAGGCTTTTAATAACCAGCTTCTCTCAAATTTTAATTAATTTATTTTTATTACATATTCTACCGTAATTTAAGGGTTAATAAAAAAAATTTGGATCTAATTTTATATATTTCTATTTTCTACGAATACGAAAATATTTTCTACAGTTCAACTTCATCAATTTTTGAAAATTTGTAGATTACCATATTCAATATCAATTCCATAAATTACTAATTTTCCGCGTAACTTCATTTCTTAATAGTTATTAAGAGTCCAATACTTCCACTCAAATGGCAAACGTGAACAAATAAAACGATACAAAATTTTCAACAAAACGTCTTAAGAACATTAACACACCAAAAATTAGATTTGTGTATAAATCAACAATATTAAAAAAAAACTAACAGTATAAAGTAAGCACTTAGAACAAACAAAAGTAAAATGTAAAGAATTTTTACATCATCGTAATTATTTTCAATATACAAATTTACATAACACAAGAATTATTAAAAAGCGTATAATGCAATATTTTTGATTCGAATAATATATTTTTTTCCCACATTAGAGCCTGTTAAAATAATTCAACAAATTTATATTATTCGTAATCTATTCTTCTATATTTTATAATAGAAGTCGATAATAAAAATACATTTATGACCACTCCAAAGCGATGGAAAATTATTGAAGTCAAAAAGTTGTTTCAGCAAATGTACAAGCTGACAATATGCATCGAATGATGATTAAAACATAATTTCGTGCAAAAGAATAGGATGCTAATAATCGCAATTCCATATCAATTGATTTTTTTTTAAATTTGATAAAATTACTCAAACTTATATTAATTTTTCTCCAAATAATCATATTCATAGATTATTTAGCAAACTATACAAAATGTTATAATATTAAAACCAATCAATATTCATACCCTTCGTGAACAACAGATGGAGACTGTTCAAAACAAAAATAAAAACGTCAGATAAAACTCTGACAAAAAAAAAACAATTTGAATGGACTCACACACTTAAAAATTGCATGATTAAACCTAACTCAACAAAAACATTTACAAAAAAAAAACACCAGTAATATAAACATACTTAAAATGAACCTATTATTGCTTCTCAAATACTTCATAATGTTTTATTTTGTTTAAAAAAAAAAAAATAGGAAAAATTAAAACTATTCAGAATTTCTAAAAGAAAATTATTTTAATTACTTTAATCATAAGGAAAAAAAAACATTAGTGGTTATCACAATATTTTTTATCACCAAATTAAAAATTAAAACATTAAAAGTATTTGAATGTGTTAAATTAAAAAAACAACTCGAATTCTACGCAGATTTACAAACAATAACAAATAAAATGAACTATTATTCTAACCCTTAAGATGATAATGAAATCACAGTTATAATTATGTAACCGATTTAAATATACATGGTATGTATTGTAACAAATCGGATGTTTAACTCGGTTTTTACAAAAATTTACAGAATCGCACACCATCACAAAAGAATAAAATTTCATATTTATTACTTAGAAAGAATCCAGTCCTATTCCCAAGATAATTCACTTTAGGATTAGAATATGTAAGAGTAGAAAAAGTCTGTTCACTTCTTACTCAAGGTAGATTCTTAAGGTAAGTCAAAAATGGTAAGGCAAGAAAAGTCTAAATTATGAGCAAATTTTATATGGCTACAACATTTTCCATGTTTTCTCAAATTTGTTTTCCGATACCGTAAGTGAATAAACAAATTATTTATTTTTAAATGACGGACAAAATAAAAGAATAAAGAATAGTTAATCAGTGTTCAATGAAATACTTGTCTGCTTTTGAAGATTACCAAGAGTTCACCAAAGAAGTATAGATGGATTTTGTATCTGATCCAAATGAAATATGTAGTATATTACATAACTAGAGTTGTAAGTAACCAGAGATAAATTACACGTTCAAAACCGTTGGTATTTCTAATGATTAAATCCCTTATTTATAAATTAACAATTCCTTTTTCCTGTAATTTTTTAAATCATATTTTTTATACTAAAATAAAAATAGAAATGAAAACAGGTAGGTAATCAATATGTATTTATAAACCTCTGTAAATAATCTTTATAAATAAATTATAATTTTAAGAGAGTATTTTTTAAAATTAGGTTTTAAGTGTTGTTTCAGCAAAGTAGTTGATGGAAATTCTACCTGAATGCAATAGCGAAAAATTACAAGTAAAAGATTTGTTTCTAAATATTTTTATTTATTAAATTGATAGTAATGTTCTGAATTATTCATAAAAAAATTGTTTTTATTTAAAATTACGTGTAAAATATTTTTTTTGCTGTTTTGATAGAATAATGTGTATCCGCTGAAACTGGTAAATTAAAGATTTAAAAAATATATTTAAAGGTTTTGGTTCTTATTGTAATTTATTTATTTATTTGATCCTAATGTACTGAATTATTCATAGGAAAAAAAATTAGGTTTTCTTATCAAAACGCACGTGTATGTTATGAGATCTCATTATTGTTAAATGTCATTTAGAAGGAATGTTGACAGTGCGATTTTTAACGTTTACTGACATTGACATGGGCGTAAAAAAATTGTATTAAAGTAGTACCAGATCCATAAATTAGTATTAACCGACAACAACGATCTTAATTATTACCTATTGATCAGGATGTAGATAAGTAAAAAAATTGTTTGTCCCTTAAAAGATCTCCAAGTCCGGATTAAAATATCTTATGAAATAGTTGCAAAAAGTAGCATTATTTTTAAAAATTTCAAAAAGTGCCCGAGAAAAAAATTGCTTATTTAATTTTTTGCTTTTATATCAATTTTCAAGTTCTTATCGCAACTTTTGTTTTTCATTTTTTACCCAATGACTTTGTAAATGTCAAATTTGTTCACTTTTCAAAAAAATGCAAAAAGTAGCATTATTTTTTAAAATTTCAAAAAATACCCAAGGAAAAAATTGCTTATTTAATTTTTTGCTTATATATCAATTTTTAAGTACTTAGCGCAACTTTTATTTTTCATTTTTTACCATTAACTTTGTAAATGTCAAATTTGTTCTTTTTTAAAAAAATTGCAAAAAGTAGCATTATTTTTCAAAATTTCAAAAAATACCTCAGAAAAAAATTGCTTATTTAATTTTTTTGCTTTTATATCAATTTTCAAGTTCTCAATGCAACTTTTGTTTTTCATTTTTTACCCAATGACTTTGTAAACGTTAAATTTGTTCACTTTTCAAAAAATTGCAAAAAGTAGCATTATTTTTCAAAATTTCAAAAAATACCCCAGGAAAAAATTGATTATTTAATTTTTTGCTTTTATAACAATTTTCAAGTTCTTATCGCAACTTTTGTTTTTTATTTTTTACCCAATGACTTTGTAAATGTCAAATTTGTTCACTTTTCAAAAAATTGCAAAAAATACCCCAGGAAAAAATTGCAAAAAATTCCCCAGGAAAAAATTGCCTATTTAATTTTTGTTGTTCTATATCAATTTTCAAGTTCTTAGCGCAACTTTTGTTTTTCATTTTCGACCCAATGACTTGGTAAATGTCAACTTTGTTCACTTTTCAAAAAATTGCAAAAAAATACCCCAGGAAAAAATTGCTTATTTAATTTTTTTGCTTTATATCAATTTTCAAGTTATTAGCGCAACTTTTGTTTTTCATTTTCTACCCAATGACTTTGGAAATGTCATATTTGTTCAATTTTCAAAAAATTACAAAAAGTAGTATTATTTTTCGAAATTTCAAAAAATACCCGAAAAAAATTGCTTATTTAATTTTTTGCTTTTATATCAATTATCAAGTTCTCAATGCAACTTTTGTTTTTAATTTTTTACCCAATGACTTTGTAAATGTCAAATTTGTTCACTTTTCAAAAAATTGCAAAAAGTAGCATTATTTTTCAAAATTTCAAAAAATACCCCAGGAAAAAATTGATTATTTAATTTTTTGCTTTTATAAAAATTTTCAAGTTCTTATCGCAACTTTTGTTTTTCATTTTCGACCCAGACTTGGTAAATGTCAACTTTGTTCACTTTTCAAAAAATTGCAAAAAATACCCCAGGAAAAAATTGCTTATTTAATTTTTTTGCTTTTATATCAATTTTCAAGTTTTTAGCGCCACTTTTGTTTTTCATTTTTTACCCAATGACTTTGTAGATGTCAAATTTGTTCACTTTTCAAAAAATTGCAAAAGTAGCATTATTTTTCAAAATTTCAAAAAATACCCCAGGAAAAAATTGATTATTTAATTTTTTGCTTTTATATTAATTTTCAAGTTCTAATCGCAACTTTTGTTTTTTAATTTTTTACCAATAATTTTGTAAATGTCAAATTTGTACATTTTTCAAAAAGTAACATTATTTTTCAAAATTTCACACAAGGCCCAAGGAAAAAGTTGTTAATTGTTTATTTTTATGCTGCTATACCAACTTTCAGCCTCTGCTTTTTTCGTATAACTCTTGTTGTATACATTTCTCCAATCCGAATGATAGTTTATCATATTCAATGTCTAAAAAAATAATATATTTATTCACTAAGCATCATCTCTTTTCTATTTATAGTACCATACTGACGTGTATGCGAACCAATCACTTAATAGCTCACTTTTCTAAAAAAAGAACTTATGCTACATTATATATGTACATCTAAATTCCTAATTTTACTTATCATCGCTTAACTTTTTATTATTCTATTAGTTTTTTTAACTTAATTTACTTAACGTGCTAATATCCCTGAGCGATTAAAAATTCTATAAAATAAATTTGATGAACCTTAAATAATTTAAATATTTAATGTTATCATCCCTCAAATAAAGACCTAAAACGTTCTGTAAAGGGATAATCTTCGAATATCAAATTTCATACTTTTGTGATTAATGCACGTCCTAACAGATAGTATTAAACTAAAAATTCAAATAAAAGAATCCTACTTAACGTTTGGCTGCTAAATTTTTTCTTAACAGCGACACTCTCCGCCTTAAAAATTCTTGTTGTTTCTTCAGGTCCTCTAAGTGTTTGCTGCAGTTATTGGAGTGAGTGGTAAGTTGATCGCAGTATTGTGCAGCTTCTCTAAGTATGACCACTTTAGCGGCCCGTTCTTTTTTGCTGACTTCTGGTACGAGCACTCTCAAGTCTTCGAAAGCGTTACGTAAATCAATTCTCCTCTGTCTCTCCATGTTGTTGTGGAGGCTTCGCTTTTCGGAAGGTTCGGCTTCGCTATCACTGCTGTTGCCGTAATTCCGGCGCTTGTAGGGGGTGTTGACTGGTGTCCTGTACTGTTTCCTCTTTATTCCCCTGGTGTCTGCGGGTTTCTTCATGGGGGAGGCTTCTGGGGTCGCGATTTTTCTGACGGGCATCATGGTTTTCACGCCAGCCGGCACTTTCTTCTTCGAGATGGCGGTGGCCATCCGCCTTTGGATTTGGTGGCGATCTCTGTTGGAGGGGTTGTTGGGGAAAGAGAATACGCTCCTGTTTGCGAATTGATTCTTATCGATGACATTGACGACATCTATTTCTTCTTCTGTAAAAAAGAAATGTACGTTAGTCTTTCGTCAAAAAAAGTTGTTTTTACTAAATTTGGGACGTAATAGAAGGAATATACCAGTAATTATAATAATAATATAATAATAACATTTATTTCCAATTAAATTACATTTTTCCACATATATATAAAATGAACGGAAATAAATATAAGATCCATAGAAGCCTGTATGGCTAGTGTATGGTTTCTCTAATATATTTCTGCTTTTTTTCCATGGATATCAATACATTTTATTTTGTTTTGAGTAACCTAAATTTTTATTTTATTTTAAATCAAAAATTCAAATCAATTATTATAAATTAAACATAAATTAAATATTATAAATTAAATACTTCAAAGTAAACATTTTAAATTAACGTTTTAAATTAAATACTTCAAATTAAACACTGTTAATAAAATATCTAAATTTAAACTCTTTAAAATGAATATTTCAAATTGCTTAAATCAAATACTTTAAGTAAATACCTTTAACATACGTTTTTTTTTATGTTGTAAGATCAAAATTTTAAACAGGGGCGGTTTCTCCATTGGTTCATTTGTGCAGTGAACACCCAGTTAAATTTCATAAAAATAAATTATTTTAAAATTACATAAATAATATATAAATGTAATTTTAATATTTTTATTTTCATACATGTTAATCTATATTTTTTGGTACATCATTGCCCTTTGGCTGATTACGTCTCTGTGGCACAGTATACCTGAGTATACTGTGTTTGTTGCGCATTATGATGAATGGGCCTAACACGAGTGAGACGATTTGGCGAATGCATATATCTAAAAAGAGAAGACAACACGCCAACAGATCCTTCAAACTGCAAAAGAACACATTAAGGTTGCCAAACTAGTGTTGCCAGTCTATTACAATTCACAATTGTACTAGATGTAGTACATTCTGCGTGCATCAGTGTTCACGTGCAAAATATTTAAATATATTGTGTTCTTTGTTTGGGTTCATTAGGGGGCGTCCATTAATTACGTGAGGTGTTCAAGGGGGGAGGGGATCAAGCTAAATCTTTCCAAATCTCACTTTGAGGGAGAGGGGGGTCTTTATAAATCTGACGTATTTTTTTTTCTAGTAGAAAACGGTGTAAAATTGCGTGAAAATTAAATTAAAGTAAAGAATGTTTCTAGAAATTTTTAGTCTTAAATAAAAGTAATAAAACATATTGTGTTTGTTTTTTTAATAATCCAACGCATTTACACCCACAACACAAATTTTGAAAAATCTCACGAGAGATTAGGGGAGGGGGGAGGGAGTTGAGGAAAATCTTACGAAATCTCACCAGGGGGGAGAGGGGGGTCAAGAAATCCTCAAAAATACCTCACGTAATTAATGGACGCCCCCTTATCAATAAAGACCTCCTTTTTTCCTCTTCAATGAATTAGATGTCACTGCAAATAGAATTTGAAAAATCTGGTACTTTATGGTATTTTATTTGTGCTCATTTAAAAAAAGTGTTTAATTAAGAACTGTGACATTAATAAATTGAAAACATGTATGTCAATTCAACGATTGTTCCCGAAAAAACGTCTTCAAGGCAAGGTAAATAAAAGTATTTTTAAAGTTGTTGTTTTATTTAATTATAATGAAGTTTTACGAATCTAATTTGTTTTATATTTTGTTTCAGTGTCTAAGACCATTCTAAGACTACTTCAAAATGGTCTATTTTGTACCCAACTGTAAATACTATGAAGTAAGAAATAAGCAAAAATTTGTAATTTTTTTTTTTCACAAAACCCGCTAAAAGAAAAAATTTGATTATTCTGATAAGGTAACATCATTGGTAATGGAAATGTACAATAATCGTTTGATAAAGATAAAAAAAGGAAAATCATTATTGTTGTATATTTTAAATATTACTGATACGCCACTGTATGTAGTACAGCGATGGGTATGAACCAAAATTAAAAAGACATCATTTTTGTACTAACAGTTAATGAATACAGAATAATAATACTTTAAAGTGTGAGTTTGATTCTTCCAAATTGAAGGCTTCAAGTGTTATATAAACTTCACATTAAGGACAATATAACAATTATGAAAATGGAAATGTACAATAAACATTTGATAAAGAACAAAGAGACAAATGGTTTTCACTTTAAAAGTCTGAATCAGAAAAATGGATCAACCAGTTAATATAATATACACTCATAAGAATCTTTACCTAAGAAATGGTATGTGTACATTTAAATAGTTTATATAAAATTATATTTGCCTGTAATTATCAATCGTGTTACCCTCCAACCAAGATCGTTTGTTGTATACAAACCAGAAATCTTTTATTTTAATGACATTTTTTATTGCCTTGTTTGTATAATTTGGTATTTTCAAAAATATTAGATGTTATGGTAATTTGAATCACTACAGGTATTAAATAAAAATAAGGCTATTGATAAATTAGTTTACAGTTGGTAATAATGTCTCGAAAAAAGTCTCGAAATAAGTATTAAACATAAATTGTGATTTTGATTAGGCAGTTAACAAGTATCCCACATATCTACATGCTCTGGCTAATCATAACAATCAAACATTAATATACTATCTACAATTAAAAAATAATTTGAAAATACAGATGAAGCCAATTTACCTATTTATACAAAATACTATTAATCTGGTATTTATTAAAACACATTATTTTTTAGTGAATATGGACATGCAAAAGTCTACCATAAGGGTAGGACAGAGTGAGAGCAAGAATACTTTGGAATGTGCTGTAAAATACACTTAGAAAAGGTCATATGGAGAATTAAGTGTGATAATATTTTACGATATGTATCTCACTATTATAGTTCACAGATTTCTGTAAATGTTCAATTATGTGCTGCTATTTCAAACTTTTAGTATCCTTTGATAAAAGAAGTTGAATATTATTGTTGACCTCTTTAAACTGTTTATTGTACCTTATATATTTTTTTCCACTCTTCATACAGTATTCTGCGAAGAGTATTATTATAGGTTTACTTTGTCCGTCTGTCCGATGTCACGTTTTTTGTCTGCACGATAAATCAACTTGAAAATTTTAAGCAAAAATCAAGCTCTATAAGGGAACAAAGCCTATTGATTTTTAACAACTCTGATTAAAAATAAGGGGTTAAGATGGGTTGAAATTAAAAAAAAATCCTAAATTAAAAACGAAAAGCGATATCAACATGAAATTTTTAGTAAAAATGAAGCTTTATAAGAAGACTATTAATATTGAAAAAAATATGAATATATTGGGAAGTTAAAATATTACAAAAAAAATCCTAACTGAAAAACGAAAAATGATATCAACGAAATTTTTAGCAAACATCAAGCTCTAAAAGGAGAAGCCTTTAAATTATAAAAAAATCTGATTAAATATGGGGGATTTAAGGGGGTTGAAATTAAAAAAAAAAATCAAAAATGAAAAGCGATATCAACATGAAATTTTTAGTAAAAATCAATAGTTTTTAAACATTAATTATATCTTCTATGATAATTGCTTTAGTAATAATTTATATTTATCGCATTAACTACTGTGATTGCATACGGTTTGTCATTAGATTTTATCGTTGTAAAAATTATGGAAATTATAAAAATTTTTCTGTAAATAATAATGTCAGGGGAATTCAAATTTACAATTAAATACAGGGTGGTCCTTTAAAAAAAACATAGGTTTGATCAATTATGAAGTTATGGATCACTCTGTATAATCGAAAATAATTTTGAAATGTTCAGATTAATATTATACAATCAATGTAATTTTTCTTTTTATTATATGGTAATAAAGACATTTATTATTATTATTATTTAGAAATATCCTAGATAATGTAATTGTTATATTCATAATAGTTACTTTCGATATTAAAGAACCACATTTACTATCTAAATGTGTAAATAACTATTATAATCGTCTGCAAAACAGGACTTTGGAATTAATATTGTTTTTTTTTTTATTTGATCGCTGTGAAGCCCATACCTAATACATACAGGCAAACTCTTTACCAATTAATATAATAATCGACGTAGTAAAGCAAGACGCAACGGGCAGAAGATAAATGAAGCAATTAGCATCTTGTAAAGTTGAAGTTTAATATTTGCGTTAGTCTAGCGTTCAGTTTATTGACTTTTAGAAAGGCGGGCGGCAACCCAACAGCTAGCAAATACGGTTGCCCATTCGTATGCCAAAATGTATTCATCATATAATACAAAACACTGCCGTAGCGGACAGAGTGGGCAAGTATCCAAAGAATATAGGGCCTCTCTAAGAATTAATTAGCGTTTTCTTATAATATGGCGACTCTGAAACCTTATTGGCCTCTCAAACAAAAAAAAATTATTTACGTATGTAATGCAGACAGTTAATGATTATGGAAAAGTAATTAAAGTAGTTCAACGAGCCGGAACCGAGTTGGATAACTAGCCAAGTCATAAAGTTGAAAAAATATAAAATTGTCTGTTTTTTTTTAACGAGTCTAGAGACAGTAAATAAAGACATACAGTCTGTTCGCTATACTTACGCGGGTTTCGGATTAAAAATTTTATGAGTATTTCCAGGTAAGTACCCGAAAGTTTGACCTGTTCTTTGGGGAACTATCTAACTGGTTATGAAATGAAAAATAATGAACAACTTTTTAATTAAATAATATTGGAGAATCTTTTGTATAATTGAGAGCAGAATTAAATTTCTTCATTAATGGAATCTAATGTGGATATTATAAACCTAATAATAATTTTATATTATACTTCACACAGAAAATATGGTCTATGTATAATAAGAGGGTTATTTAGCTCAAATAAAATATTTTCTAACATAAAAATTTGTTCCATGTAGAGAATTTTAAAAGAAAAATAAAAAAATTGAACTTGCCAACAAAAATGAAAAAATCAATCATTATCATCCAAAATATCACAATCGTCATCATCATCACTGTCATCACCATTAATTGTTATTATGATTGGACTTATTTCGTTTATTTTATTTTCACGAGTCCACCAATCTTCTATTAGTTTC